ACATGCTATAAAATGTCATATGTTATGGAGTTATTCTAAAGAAAAAAATGTTGATGATTGATAAGAAAATTGTAATAAATGTATGCTTGACAAAAAAATTATAACAATTTTATTAAATATTTCAAATTTCATTAACGTGACTTGAGGATTGAAATTTTTATAACGGTTTAAAAGTGTAACATATGTTTTGGGACACCCTGTATATAAACGCGACCAGTCGTATTTTACATCTGCTAGCACACGAAGTAGAATAGAAATAAAGTCCTTGTTGTCGTGAATGTTGCCGATAATCTCCTCAGTCTCGAAATGTTGTTTGAAATATAAAAGCCTCGGCTTTTATCTTTCAAACAATATTTCTCGACCTCGGAGGTTATTCTGCAACATTCACGAAAACGCGGACATTATTTCTTAAATAAACTTTGTGATTGAAAAATTCACCGTTGTTTTATTATTAAAATTAAATCATTGATATTAAGATAATTTATTTGAAAGATTCGATTTAATAAAAAAAATCGCTAACATCAGGAGAAATCTGCATCGACGAAAAAGACAAATGTCAAAGGTTCAATTTTTTGGACAAAATATTCCAATTTCTAGATTCAAATTCTAATCAAAACGATTATAGTCATAAATGTAATTAAAAATGTATTATTATTATTATGATATGAATAAATAGGTAAACAAAGCATATGCATGCACAAGAATGAAATAATATTTTTAAAACCCTATATTTGCACAATGTTACTCTTGCAAAGATCTTAGGCCTGTCTTTTTATTTTAGTTTCCGTTATATAGATGTACATACACGGAGAAAACCACTTCAGTCATGTTAAATACTAAGGACCAAAACATTTCCTTGTATACCAAACATTTATGACCTGTACATTTCTGTGGCAGTGAATTCAGGATCAAAATACGTGTTCATAGTCCAGTTCGCCGCCTGTACCAACGCAGCCGCTATTGCTTAAAAAGTCGGATTTCAACGCAATGTTTATAAAACGTCAAAAATTCATTTTTCATAAATCAAACACCAACATTTCAGGAATGTAGTTAATAATACACAAATATGGATTGTTTAGACGGGGGATATCACCAATTATCAGGTCTGAGTTGTCACCCGAGGGCGCTTGCGTTATGTAAATAAGAAATATCAATGACAAAATATTTTAAGTAACAGTTTAGCTTGTCCGCGATTTTTACGGACAACCCTCCTTCAGTTACTAAAGTTATTACTCTGACATTATATAAAAAAAACCAAATACAATGAAAAAAAGAGCACGTGTCCTCCTCAATATTAAAGGATGATGGTTGAAAAAATATAAATGAAAACTTAATTGAAAATGATTTTGTTTAACAGAAAACAGTTAAAGCAAATGAAAAGAGACAGCTGAAACTAGGTTAAAGATCATTCATAATGTGTCAATTAAGACCACTTGAGTTCACTATAGGAATATCCTACTGTGTTAAATTGAAATAATTATAGTAAACGAAAAATACCTCGGATGCTATCTGTCACATTAAAAACGTCAGTATGAATTTGAACGCCTCTTGTCGAATTGACACTTTGTTTAATTTCTGCCAGGTCAGTGCCCTTAAGTCTCTCTAGTAATGTTGTTTTCCCACTACCAGCACACCCTATGATCATTCCAGAGGCATGGTACATCCTCGTCCTCCCTTTCTTTAGATTTTCCGTGAAATTCTTCACTGATTTGTCCCCCCACATTATAACCTGTATTGGAACGCCGACTACAAAGCAACAAAAATACAAATTTTTAATGTAAAAAAGATCGGGAAAACAAACTTCGGTTCACCTTTGTCGCGTCTCGTCAAACCTGAAATTAGGTAGTTAGGTCTACAATTCCTTCTCCAAGCACTCGGCAGTAGTAGTAAAATTAAGGGGTTTTGGTATATTATGACATCTCTATATGAGTGAAAATTTCTCAAAAGGGAGGTAAAATAACATTCACTCATTCATTGAACCAATCAATCATTTGATTGATTAATAGATTGTATGATATTTTAAAACTCATTCGAGGATTTTTTTTTCACTCATATACCTACAGTGTATGTATATCAACTTTCACCGTTGAAGGGCTTCAAATTTAGACCTATACAAGGCATTCACGGCCATTAACGCTTACCGTGAGAGGGGACATTGGTTTTTAAGATCTTAATCGAAGAGCCCTAAATTTTAACTTCAGAGTGCCAAGAGCATGGCGAAGGAACGGTTGCTACTTATTTTGCATCGACTGTGTCACAGCCGAGATTCGAACTCACGACCTCCTGATCACAAAGCGAGCAATCTACAGACAGATAGTAACGTCAAATGAATAATAATATATTGAAATATCTAATGGTGATAATTGTATAGAATCTTTTTTCCATTTCATTGTCATGTTCATGTTGTAATCAAAAATCCGTGTTTTAAAAATACAAGTTAGAATAGATTTTTTATTGTATAAATTCTATACTTTAAAGCAATTGAAACGAAACAAAAAGTAATCTACAAATATGATTTTTATGTAATGATTTTTGTAAATTAATTTAGTAAGGTTATACTTGACTTAAGGTATTAAATGTATAAAATAGAATTTAAACCTAATAAATGAATGGCCTGATACTTTTAATCATGGTAGCATTTTGAAGGTATTATGAAATAATTATACTCGACCAAAGAAATGTACAAAATTTTAATCATTGTTCATTAAATGCACCTTAAATTCAACATCGAGGATTGTATGTTGTTTAACGTCCCTCATGAGAATTTTTCAGAAGCCACCACTTGCCGATGGAGAGCTACAAAATTTGTCCTATACTCGGTTTCTGAGCCATTGAGCAGGGAGGGATTTTTTCTCGTGCCAGCACCTACTGCGACCTGGGACCTCGATTATACGGTCCTATCCGAAAGACTAGTCTCTGCGTCCCACAGTAGAATTCGAACCTGCGACAATTCAATATTAAAGTATATGGCAGCGCATGTTTTTTAAGACATTGTAAAAAAGTAATGTGAATTTCATAAAAAAAAGAGCCATAGCTGCCTTTGACGACTCGGCCTACTCAAGTATTTAAAAGGAAATCACCTTTTTCTATTTATAGATACATCGTACATGTACCTATTTCAATCAAACTACATGTATGTAATTATTTGTGAACCAGTGTTATACAATGTACATCTAGCTGCAAGTTTGTTGCATGACAGTACATGTAATTTTACTTGTCCAATACTCTTATTCTAAACAAGATTGTTTGAAAATTTAAAAAAAAACAGGCTAGCAGCTATGACTTTGGTCATTAAAATAGTTTAAGATTGTTTTCCCCAAGATACTTTCAATGTGTAATGTTGTATTATATATCTCTTTTAAAATTTATTTATACAAAAAAGTATAAAAACAAAAATAAAGAAAAAATAGGAAAATGCACACAGAAAAAAAAATAAAATCGTTGTTGAGTAACACGCACTGTGAGATTCGAACTCACGATCATTATGTCTTTAATCCAGCAGTCATACCACTATGCCACGAAGTCTTGGTATTCAGATGGATAAAATTAAGACAGATTGTTGAATTTTAAAATAATAATTTTAGAAGAAAAATTAAATACATATTTTGACATTCTTTGGATATGAAGACCACCTTTAACCAAAATTATATAAACGTATTGAAGTGCAGTTATATCCAAATAAAACTATTCAGAAGTTGTTTTTCTGGTTAAGGGTGGTCTTTTCCTACAGTTTGTAATTGTTTAGGGGAAAACTTCAGTATTTACTATATTTTCCATATATACTGAACGATTTTTATAACTATCATAAGAGGGAAGTATTAATAATTGAGTATTATTTTTGCGTGAGTTGCTTTAAGACATGTATAAACTAACATAGTATGACAAAATTTTGGTTAAGCAAAGTATTTAAAAAATCACTACTGGAGAAGGCGAAAGTGATTATCAAATGTGCTATGGCTCTTTGTCGGTGAAAAATGCATAAAACTGCATGAGTCATGTGATTATCGTTTATTTCACTTAAATTGATATCAAGCAATGTATTTCTAGATAGTCTAAAATGATTTAAATTGTTTGAAATCTCTTCCTTATACAGTGAATAAGTTAAAAACACCAGAGGTTTGATAACAATTTTAATGATTATATTATAATTATAAGAAACACATGAATGTTAAACCTACCCAAGCCCTTGTAGCTTGATTAATACGATATGTTCATCAATTAGATTTCTAAGCAAAAGAAATATTCTCTGCTATATCGAAATGCTTGTTTTTTCAGATTTATCGGGTCAAATTTTCTCTAACCTAGCGCAGTGTACAAGTAATAGCACTTGAATTTTTTCTACAGACATTCATTCATGCTAATGATGCACAAAAGCCTGTTTAAGCATGATGTAGTGCATTTTTTCATATTGCAATTCCTCATTACATTTAAATCGTTAACGGTTACACAGTCAGTAGAGCGCTCACTCTGTGATCAGGGGTCTTGAGTTCGAATCTCGACCGCCACTGAAATAACCTAATAAAAATTGGGTAGCAACCTGTTCTTCACCAATGTGCTTAGCACTTGAAGTGTCATTTGCGTGTCCTTAGGATGAGACCTTATAAACATCGAGGTCCCAAATTACCGCAGGCCTAGGCACAATAATCATATTTCACCGCTCAATGGCCCTGAGTGCCAAGTAAAGGTCAAAATTGAAGCCCTTTACCGGTATATGGTGACGTCTCTAAATGCGTAAAGGAGATTTCGAATGGGAACGGATAAGGTTTTTAAAGATTTTGCAGTTAAACTTCTTTTTACTGTTCATAAAGGCAATATTAAAAAAAAAAACTCCAGGTCACGTTTCTGAACTTATAGTCCATTTATAAAATGATGCGAATTTAGGAAGAGACAAAATAGCAGTAATGGGTCTTTAGTTATATTTTTAACATTTAAATTAAATTAAAAGATGATGTTAACGACCTACATTTTCTAAATACAGCTTCATGTATTGACTGGTCATTCATTGTCGGATGTGTGAAAATATTTTCTCCTAGCCTTTCTAAAAACTCCTCATTTTTTTCTGGCAATAACCAACAGCAAACTTCACCTTCTTCTCTCTGATAATTACACGATCTACAGTACTCAGCAATGTTTTCTTTTTCAGCCCAAGCCAAGAAAATATCCAGAAATTTTAAATTTTTTGAAAATCTAAGAAAACTGATATTTTTGAAGAGTTCGTTGGAAAAACTTATTTCTAATTCATTGAATTTCAGAATTGGTTTGTACTTTTCTAAATCTTTTAAAGCAAAGGGCTTTTTGATTTCCTTGGATTGAAAACTGTTGGCAACAGTATTGTATTTGGTCATCCAGTTTCCTTCTTTCAAGTTTATTTTATAAGAATTGGAAAGAAGAAGGCACATCAAAAATGTATCCCCATCTAAAAATAAAAATAAAATATCAAAGATTAGCAAGCTCATCTAAATGAATGTGACCTATAAATAAAGGTTCATAAAATCAAAGTACTGAAAGTACTGAAAAGCGGTTAGCATGCTTTCATCGAATATGTACAGTGTACAATAACAAAAAATGCATGGAATGATGATATTAAAGTAAGCATGCATATCTTTTTCCAATGTCATCAGCGAAGAAGCAGACACACTGAATTTTGTAGTACTTAACTAAATGGTAAAACCAATAACATCCCAGACTGATGTCACAAATGTTTGTTTCAAAATATCAACCTGAGATTTTCAGTTTGAAAGACAGGAAGTTCAATTTCAAAAATTTCTCCCTAATTGTCTACATTGGTGGTGTCCAAAAGTGCTCAGAACGAAAAAAAAAATTATGTTGATCTTGCAAATTTAATTGGCTTTCATGCTCTATTGATTCTGAAATTAGGTAACTGTAAAGGCTACTATAGCAAACAACTCAAAAAGAAAATAAAATGATAATTCAAATTCTTTAGATTAATTGGTTTGGAGTACTGTACATAGGTCTTTAGCTGGCTAGTCTGAGAAAAACGGATGGACGAGCAGAGAATTAATTAATTTCAGAGAGCTTCAATTTCGTAGGCTCACAGCGGGTCAGCAGGTGTGACCTGTCATTGAGGATGCTTACTTCTCCCAGGCACCGGAACTTTCAAGGATCTGTTTTTCTTTTGAGACCGATCACTGTTCATTCTGTATTTTGATACAGATACTGAGTACTTCTGTTTATTAATATTATGAACTATTTCTCTCACAGGAAGAAAGACAAGTAAACAAGATAATAAAGTTTTAAGAAATGTACATTATTGACTTTTCATACAATAAAATGTTCGAATAAGTACTGTAAATGGTATATGACAATTATTTAAAAAAGAGTCTTGCACGATATGTATAAACGAACATATACTGAGTATTTGGCAAATATTTTTCATGAAATATTGTATAAAAAAAAACGTGTGAAAAGGAAAGTTGTTGTTTAATCCATCAATACTAGTATTTTAAAAATTCAAAGGTTCACTAAAAGTCAGTGTATAACAAACAATTTAATTGTCCATTGCAAGAATTACCTAGGTATCATTATCACTTTCTTCAATATGTCGCATAAGCAATACGTTGTTTTTTTTTTTTTTTTTTTTTTTTGTTTTGTTTTTTATATATACTAAAAACAAGTATGCGAATTTCTATCAATATGCCTGTAAGCATCTGTATTTTAATTTTTATTTCTTCTCAAAGGCTCAAAATGATACTTAACAAATTGGACAAATTCAAATTTAAGTATTTTTACAACTTATACCTTGCACAGGAATTTAGCAAACTTTCAAAAATAATCATTCATTATATATAATTTTCAATTTGTGCTGATTGTCAAGATTTTTCATGCCTCTTTTTTCTGTGCATATTTTATATCGGGTGATTTTTAGAAAAGGATCGAATGCCGATTAAATTTTTTTCTCCATTTTTTTTAAATTAATTTTAATATTTTCAATTATTTAATTATTTTTCTGTACAACTTACAGATGTATTCAGTATTTTTATATAAAGGCTTTCTTCGTGTACTAGTATTACTTAAGTTAATTAAAGGGATGCCATAATATTTTGGAAAATGAAACGCGATCGAGAGATTCTCCGATGTTTTGCAGTCGGTAATAACCTTCAACCCCTTTAGCCAGTAATTAACCCGTCCTCCCTGTGCCCAGTAGCATAATTCGGTCAAATATTTATTGTTCATGAGGTGTGCCTTATAATTAATCATAGGCACCTGAATTTTTATCAGTAAGTCTCTAAATTAGCCAAATATGGAAACATTTTACCCCCTCTATATATAAATACACAAGGTGTACAACGCCATTTTGACCACCTGTTCGATTCAGGCTTCAATTTAACACACAAATCGGAAATGCCTACTGGTTTTCGTGTAGCATTGGGTTCAAATATGATATTTCTCGCTATACATGTCTTCCTAAAGTTTAAATCTAACAAGTTGATAATGTTATCAGCTAAACTTCATGCTGACTTCGAATTTCGTCACAGGGCCCGATCGCCATCAGCTGATGTCACGGAAATTTCGACACCAAATGCTCCTATACATAAACTTTTTTTAATTCAACAATTATAAATTTATTTCATTGACAAACAAAATCAGAAAAAAAATTAAAAACCGAAAGATTATGTTGTTTTGATAGTCTTGATTTTATTTAACATATGTTATATGTGTTAGAAACAAATCATAGGTACTAGGTAGAGGCTTTGTTGAAGTTTCCGTTGTCGATAGGTAGCGCCTTATGGAAGTTTCCGGTGTCGATAAAAATCGGACACATGCCATAAAGCGGTTAGCGAAGCTAACCGCTTAAAAAGAATGTCTAGAAATATATTAAAGTCAAATGTCGTAATCTTAAATCACTGAGATCAATGTTCTTGAGAAGATAATGTTCAAAGCACATCACATTATTTCTGCAATTTTTCTATAATCTTTCCATGAATTCTCCTTTACCCGCAAGGGAAATGGGATGTTTTGTTGTTAAAAAGAGTTTCGACGATGATATATTTTTTATCCGAAAAAGAGCAATATTTGCTGGCCTACATATAACTAAATAAATACAGAACATACTGATTTTGATTCCAGCAACAAACCTTCTATCCTGTGAATTTCTTTAAACAGCTCCTCTATATCTCCAAGATGATGTCCCCTGTGATCCTCAGAGCTCGTACAATCCACACACAAGGGAAAATTACACTGAATACAGAACTGAACTAATGTACGTCGAGGGTGTCTCTTGCATTTAATGTCGTGCAGATGAAGGTCTGTTAGACGTCCCCCCCCAAAAAAAAATATATTATTAATGATAAATTAGATAAACAATGGAAATGATTTCATACAATCTTCTTTTTTATACTAAACAGAAGACGCCTTGGCGTCATTTTAAATAACGTGTTTCAAAATCACGCATTAATACACACAGGATGAAAAGCCAGGTTTCCCAAATTTGGAAACCCGATGGAAACATATGGGAATCGTGACATCAGTAGTTTCCATATAGTTTCCATTTTATGGAAACCACATAGTGGTTTCCACATAGATTCCCAACATGGAAACAATCAACCTGTGGTTGCCCGTACGTTTCCCAAGATAGGAAACCATGGAAACATTCCCTGGTGGTTTCCATGTAGATTCCCGACATGGAAACAACCAACCTGTGGTTTTCCGTTAGTTTCCCAAGATAGGAAACCATGGAAACATGCCTCAGTGGTTTCCATATAGATTCCCGACATGGAAGCCACTAATGTGTAGTTTCCCCCATGTTTCCCAGGTAGAGAAACTTTGAAAGTATATCTCAATGCTAACCCACCTACTTTTTATTTTACAAAAAGTTAAATATTTTCTGATGTTACCATATGCTTACCAATTATAGAAATATTTCAAAAGTGTTTACATGCTGTATCAAAATAATTAACTTCCCTTCAAACAGTTAAAATAACTAGATGTGTATTTCTGCGTGATAAAATTTAATATTTCAGCACCGTGAACGCAATTTAATATTAAAAATTTATGAAATAAGTTTTGGTAAACTCGTATAGAATGCATGAAATGGAATAGAGAAAATTAAGTGCAGTTATGTAGATATCAATCATTTCCGATCTCACTTTCTTGTAAGCTGTCTATGTTGAATGTTCCTTTGAAAAAAATGCAAGAGCGAAGGGCACCTTTTATGATATTATTTACAGAAAAGGTAAAAAGATCGATAAAAAAGTAAATAAAGAAACATATCAAGTTGCGATTATATAAAATGTAGTGATTAAGGACAGATGAGACGTTCCTCAATAATATAATTATAATTTTTTCCAATATTTTGACATTGAAGACTTACTTTTTTTTTTACATTATAACATGTATTCACAAAAACTCGAAGGTACCTTACAAGGCATTTTGTTTGAGATACCAGAGGATGGCATCTCTTATATACCGGGGTAATCCTTCAATGTAAGTTTTCTAGTTGGATTCAGTGTTTCAAATTATTAAAAACCAGTTTAGAAAGTAATAAAGATTTTTATACAAATTTATTATACATTAATATGAAGATTCACAAAACAGATACTTAATGGGAAACGTATCGTCTGACCTTTAAAAAAAACAAAATATAGAAGAGTAAGTATGGTTACATAGAGATCAATGTAAACTGGCAGATAAAATCCATCGAATTGGTTGGAGCTGAGTATTATCATACTAGTATTTTACTTTATAAGATTGTTTTTTTATGATTTAATAAATTATTATTATTATTGGGCGGTGGATTCCCTGCTTTCATTTTTCTGAAGGCCCCCCCCCCTCCTTTAAAAAAATAAAACCACACTTGAAAAAATCACTATAGTCGGCCTGTGTAATAACTACGGGCACCTGTCCTCACGTGCCATATCAGGTGGGGACACGTGCCGCGAAGACACCTGTCACTGTGTATTTTTTGTATATTCTATGTGAATTGAGACGGTTTTCTACCTAAAGGGAACAATGGGCTGTTGTCGAGCATGTACACACACAGCCTCCGACCGAAAATTCGTTTAATTAAGATGACGATTCGGGGTTTTTTTATCAATTAAAAAATTGTATATTTCATAAATAAAGTTATACAAGAGAACATATTTATAATATAACATACATTTATTTTAAGATTTTCAATGAAAGAACGAACTATTTAGAATTTTTATTTCAATTTTCATTTCTGATTTGAAAAAACTATGCTCTTTAGAAATTAAATAATTTTCTATAGGTATTGTGAAATCAACACTGTATTTATATAATAGTGTTGCATTATGCATGTACTATGCCTAAATAGTAGGCAGGGTTTGACACATGGTGCACGAGCCGGAGGCGAGTGCACGATGTGTCAAACCCTGCCTACTATTTAGGCATAGTACATGCATAATGCAACACTATTGTTATTATTATGCTGACTGTTGTAATTATTTATGCGGTAATCCATTTGATTTTTTCCTGATAATATCGGTGCTTAAACAGCGCACTTGCAAGAACTCATTCAAAATATTCATGCTAAAATTGTTTGCATGCTTAGTTATTTTGGTTACTAGTATTTTCTCTAAATAAGTAGGGATTTTCTGTCCCCAAAGCAACACATTTTTATTTTTGTTATGTTAGTAAGCCTTATTTGTTTGCAGACGTCGATTCTCATTGATAATTTTCTTTTACATCCTTCAATCAAGCGTCATATAAAAAAGCGTTTTAATGACCCTATAAAATCAGTTCATCTAACGATCTGTATGTAATTAGTTTGAAAGTTTGTTGTACACATTAATCTAAAGTTCCTTAGAATAATATAACTGTTTTCAAATAATATTTGTCTATTTTCTCCTTCTTGTGTCAATTGTATAAATTAAGTTTATATATTTAATAAAATTATACTTACCAGTGATCGTCTCTATGGCGTAATCGATAAGTCATCGGACTGACAATCTCATGGTCGTGAGTTCGTTCCCCGGCAAGTACATGGAAGAATTTTATTCAGTAAATAAAGCCGTGCACTATTTCGGCATAGTATGCTTACGCTTTATAAATCCTTAGACCACTATGCGAGAATAGTAGGGTATGGGTTATATAGAGACAAACTGACAGGAAGCATAATAATTAATAGTCTTGATGAGTTTTTGTGTGAAATTTGTAATCCAACGTACTATACAAAGGCATTTATTAAATAATGTTATAATATTCCTGAGTCAAGGAAACTTTAGGAATCGTAAGGTTTCACGAGGTTCCATGTAGTTTCCCGTAATAGGAAACCTTAAGAATTCCATCAAGTTTCCATTCCACGGAAACCACTACGCTCCGATTCCCTGTGGTTTCCTGAGTCACGGAAACTTTCAGAGATCATGAGATTTCCCAAGCTTCCATGTAGTTTCCTTTAAAAAGGAAACTTTAAGATTCCACCAGGTTTCCATCCCACCGGAAACCACTACACTGATCCATATGGTTTCCTGAGTCACGGAAACTATAAGCGGAATGGTGAGGCCTCCCGAGCTTCCATGTAGTTTCCCGTAAAAGGAAACCTAAAGATACCACCAGGTTTCCATTTTACGGAAACCCCCTGAAACCGATTCCATCAAGTTTCCTGATTCTGGAAACCAGTGGAATCTTTCATTTGCCGTTATGGGAAACTACATGGATGTTCGGGAAACTTCAGGTTTACAGAGGTTTCCGTGGTTCGGGATACCTTATGGAATCGGAGCGTAGGGGGTTTCCGTGTCACGGAAACTTGGCGGAATAACCTAGCATCAGCTACGGAAACCACTGGGAAACATGATGTAAACGTGAGGTTTCCGTGAGGTTTCCATGTGTGCGTTCCATAAAGTTTCCCATGATGGGAAACCACTTTTCACCCAGTGACAAGGAACTAGTTCGAATGCTAATGCAGAAAGTCAACCGACCGCCATATTGCTTATCTATGCAATTTTACACATAAACTATAGCGCAGTATATTTCAAGAAAATGTCAGATGCATTTTACTCAGCATAAATAATACATTGATATTAGGTGAAACTCTCATGAACATAATATATAAGGATATGTAAATATGACGGTTGCTAGCATTTAGGAAAAATTTCAAGATTCTTACCGGAAGGCGATTCTCCGTCTATACATTTGTAAATGACTACTGTATTGTTATATCCTGATCCAATCCAGAGGAAACTGTTTTTTTCATCATAACTCAGACTTTGTGGTAAGTATAAACCTTGCTCTTGTGTCAGAATGAATGATAAAAAGTTACCGTCTTTGCTAATCATATGTATTGTATTGTTATCATAATCGCACACAAGAATTTGTGACAAAACGTTTGTCAGTATTTCCAAATGGAAGAAGTCCTGATCCGGAAGGGTGCCCTGAATAAGAGAAACGATGCCATCCTCCACGATTCGTTACTACCACGGCCTCACGGTCATGGTCAGACACAATTATATCTCCATTCCGATTCTCGGTAATATATCCAGGGTCAATATATAATTTCTCACCTGTATTGTGGTCGTATTGTATAGTTTGGATAAGTTCTAATGCTGCATTATATCGAGTTACTTTTGCACTATATGTACCAGCATTCCACATTACGACCAGCAAGTCTTCATTAGAATGAGAGCTGTAAACACACGCTGGTTTCCATTGATCTGTGCATTTGATTAATGCCCCTTGCTCTTTTAACTTTGTCAACTTTAGACAGTTTGTTTATGTTACCATTCCTGTTATATATATTAAATCTCCATCGCTGTTAACTGTGTGTACTCCGCATCCACTATCTATATCTGTCAGTTGGTGTAGATTTGTACCCGCTGTGTTTGTCAAGACGAGATTGTTCACATCATTGACCCAACCTCGTCCGATGTCAGTCGGGAAATATGTCCACCGTAAGTAACTCCTGGCACTGTGACAGATTTATGAAACACTACACTGGACATCATTTCTCGTAGAAAATCTTTGTTTGTCTTTTTCCTAGGGTTGTATAAAATTAAATTGGAACGTCATCTTTTTTTCATTCATGAAGTTTCTCTACAAAAAATGTAGTTATCTAAATCATAATGCCTTTTTGCAAAGAAAGGAGTTGATCCTTACTTCATGGGTTCGAATTTCAAAGTGGGACGCGGAGACTGGTAGTTGGATGACACCGTTTACATATAAACTAATGTTCCGTGTCACAGTTAAAGATTGCACGAGAAATATAATGGCCCCAAGTGCAAATACTAGGTCAAATTTTCCACTTCTCCATTGGCAAGTGAGGGTTTTTCAAAATTGTTGAAAAATTCTCGAGAGGGAAATTAAATTACATACAAACAAAAGCCTTTTTTGCCCATTTATCGATGTTTTGATTAAAGAATAATAAAAAAAAAAAATCATGAAAATACAGAAAAAATGTAGCTGTGCGACGGTTTTGGGGAGCACATTTATGTATATTAGTGGTTAGCCTATCGATTTACAACTTGGTTCATTCTTTTTACTCTGCGTAAGATATCTAAAGTCAAAACAACACTATAATCTCAGCGAAATCAGTAAGGACAAAAAACTTTGTTCTGATATCTCTACGGATCTCAGACCAGTGTCACCTAATCTCATTCGGGGTTTCGTGCCCGGACTTCGACGGCGTGTTTGATTATAAGGGCCTGAAATGAATAATGTGACCGCTACAAATATTTGCTTTGGACATCCTTTTAATTCCCCTTTACCATAAAACTTTCGTTTATTGCCTCCATTGTCTCCCATTTTTGTAGGAATGAGATTATGTGAACTTGGTCTTATACCGATCCGAAGAGCCTTCAGACAATTATTTTAGTCACCATTAATATCCCTAAGATTATAATTTGTATTCATAAATTGTTGTATATGTATTTTAGTTGCATATTTCCATTACAGATATTCTTTACAAAAACACTTAATTTGCCTTTGATCTTGAATATAGATAAAAGCAATGTATTTTTTTATTATTGGTAAACTTTTGTTTTCTTATCGAAGGAATTGGTTGAGGGTTCCAGTTGCAATAATATTCAGTATTTCGTGTACTTAATTTACCTTTGGAAAATAAAAATTTGGATCAAAGTAGAGTCGAGATTTCTAGAAATTTTGGGAGTTGATTTAACCAACTCCTTATATTGGCGCCAGACTTACAACTGACTTACAGTAGCTAAGATGATATCTTGATTTAAACAGTGTGTTGTGAAAATAGCAGTAAGGCTACAATTACAGATTTGACCAACAAATTGAGCAGGGTGTTAAGATTGGATAAAAGGCTACCCGAGTATAATACAATTCAATGTAAGATTCTTCTGTAGTTTTTGACTATAAGAAATATTCAAAGTATATGGTTGCCTATATGTCTCATATATTTAGGTGAAAGAAATTTAAGAGACCATGTTTTTTTTCCTCGTCAAAATTGAACAGCTTTTAATAGAAATGGGAAAATGTGCATGAAGACTAGCAGGAATTATATTATACGCACGTTCAATAGAAACGCAACACCCTACTTTTAGGGTGAAAATTATATACGGGATATAACTATGTACCAAAATAGTTAGGACATCTTTTACTTTACCATATCAGTTGTGAGTATATTAGCCAATAACCATTTCAGTTAAATTATTTATGCCAATTTGGTAATATCCTCTTATAGGCTCAATATGGTAGTATCTTTTTATGCAAAAAGAAAATCATTTTGAAATGCAAGTAGAGACCATGTCTCTTATATAAAGAGGTCAAATTTAATCTAACTGATACTATTACATCGTGATATTGTCTTCTTGATTCTGTAAAATTTTATTTTTAAATACAAGAAATGTGAGAAGAATTCTACCTTAAAGGATTTATTCATAGTATACAAAATATAGAGTATAAAATAAACTAACAGACAAAACTTTGTCAAAAAGAAAAAGATAAATAAGAAGATCATGATTAATGAGATACAATATTGCTGCAACGTTCCAATTGTCTAAAATTGTTCGTTACATCATCGTGCGTAACTGTAAAAGGTCCTCCAAAAATGGTGTCATTTTGTAGAGAAGTTATCCTTTTGTATCGTTATAGGGCCAATCTTAAAATCTTAACAGAAATGGAAAATGATATCAGAGACTATGATATCATGTATATTTGATAAGATTGTGTGTCCAATACATTTTTTAGAAGCGCGGCAGGGGGGCTATCAATACGTCAGTTGCCTGGGGGAGAAAGACCTTGAATTGTTGCATTGATACATGTACGTAAAAATTCTGTGTTTTTAAATAAATGATTCAAAGTACATAAAATTTTGACTGAAAACTACAATCAGGAACATCTGACACCACAATCCATATGCACAACAAAAACAAAAGTCGATTCGCTACTGGTTAAAGAAATGAACTTCCTTGTTAATCGATGTCGTGTAATTAATAGCAATCTGCCGTGTCATCTCAATAATTTTTTCTTACCTTAACTATTATGAATCTTGGCAAATGCACACCATCGTCCAGACAGACATCGGAAAAACAGGTACAGTTGGACTTGGCACTTCTTTACTAGAAGGAAGTTTCAGTAAAGGTTATGCAAGACATCACGTGACATATATGGTATGTTGGGTTGTTTAGGGTCAGTGGTCATTGTGTAGTGCGGAGTTTAAAGATGCATATAAATCGTTTTCATACCGATTGTCCCTCATTATCCATTGTTACAATTTTTTGTAATCTACCAATGTTATTTGTTTTAAAGCCCGTTAATGGGTTAAATAGTTATTTAGACTAGATTCGGCTTCAGTTATATTCAATTTTTAGCATTCATTTTTTTTTCTACAAATGCAGTATTTAGTAAACAAAGATATACTTGTATTTATTACTTTTAGAGACTGGTAAATTAGACGATTGATGTAATAAATTCTCATATATTCGTATTATAATTCATTCTACAGAATCTTCTCACAAGTCCGTATATTCAATGGGTTGTCGCTACAAAATACCGTAGAAGCAGATAATATTACAATATATTCAGGTGCGTCATCCGAGATCATTTTTGTATAGCATGCCATATATTCCCTTCAGGGTTGAGTGCTTAGATATAAAGATATTGACACAGATCTTTAAAGAAATACGAGCTGCATTTTGGACAAAAAATATTTTGCTGTTAAAATGAGATTTTTTGATAAAATTGTACTATGTAACGATAATCTTTATGATCAATTAGACTGAAATATATAAAGTATAACATTATAAATTGTTTCAAAAGAAAAAAAATCTGTATAATTTAATTTAGGATATTGTACAGTTATGGAATGGGTACGAGTGAAATAGCAGATTTATGGTACCCGAGGATGGAAACTCAAGCTTATAGGCCGCCTGAGTAGCATGAGACAATTTATCTACATTGTCAATTAAATTATAACTAAATGCATAGTTCATTAACTCAATACCCAGAAGCAGAACAGCGGATTGTCAAAGGATTAATGCATTTTCACTATCTAATCAATAGAGTCCCGAGCCTACAGAAAAGCCAGTCCCTTGGTCCACACATTCCATTTTTTGGAAAAAGGTATTCTTACATGTACTTATCCTAAGTACAAAGAGTTTTACTACTATTTTTTTTTAATTCATACCTTGGAGCAAAGAAGAGGATATTAAAAGCATAAAAGATACTTAGCATGTGCTATATAATCAAAAATTACCCACCCACTGAACACCTGACCATATGTTTTATAATATTTGACGAACCACCATAGGTCACGCACATATTTTTTTTTTATTGTTTAAGACATTGGATCATTTCCAAAGAATTTATGCATTTTTACCTTATACTGATATAAAACCAGGCCCTCACACCACAACCGCTGACTCAGGGGCTATGAAATTCACAAATTTGAAACAGATACCCTTCATTATCATCATTTTACACTAAACTTCAAAAGCAAAATACCTTGGATTAAGAAAAATTTCTTTTAAATATTGCAAGATTGGGATTTCCTAATACTAATAGGCAAACCATTCCAACATTTTTATTTTATATATTTGTTTATATTTTGGTAAACGAAGTTTGAAGTTTGTTTCATGTGACGTGTATAATCAAAAACTTTGAAATGCGATATGCATATAATCGGGAGGGAAAACATGAAGTATTTTTAACATATACCTCCTGGTCTCCTAACAAATGTGAAATCAATACCATAAACTTCCAGTAAATAGGTAGCAATTTGTCAAAAACTGATGATTCAAAGTTTTCAAATAATTATCGTATCCCTCTTCATAAAAGGTCTTAATTCTGTTTAGAATTTGGCTGAAATAAACACTACAAAAAAAATAAACTCCGCATATATATGAATTTCATGACATAATGTAATAAAATGCTAGAATAATTTTACAGGAAGAAGAGACATTGAATAATAAATCTGAAACAAAATGAATCATGCAAGAAAAAAAATTAAAATAAAAACAGGAATTATAGAAAATAATAAAAGGAATTTTTTTCTTCCCTTATCGTCTTTATGCACACTTTACATACTAGTCGTCCAGTTAGATAAGAAAGGTTTCATGAACTATTTTTTCAATTGATTTATCCTTTTGAGATAAGATCATTGTAGTTAAGAATAGTTCACTGCAAGCGCGATATTTTATCAACGTACGTGTCCTCAGACATGTCAGAATTTGAGGAAACGTATTTGAAATACATGTACTATGGAAGGTAAAATTGGCAATTTCTAGCATGCGTCATTATGCTGGTTACGGTGTACACAGAGGCAAAGACACTGATTAACCATGATATCGAAGAAGAATTAAGAGCTCTCTCACAAGATGTTGAAACTGTTGAAATACAATTTACCAGGATTTTCATGATCAGTGAAACTTCAAAAAACCAGCGAAGTGCCAGAAAGCACAATAATCAAAAAATTGAAAAGTTAAAGAAGGTGAATTCGGATCTACTTGAGTCCCTGATGAAAGAGACTAGAAAAACAAAAGATGTCGCTGAAGAATTAACTTAAATAAAACACGAAGAGAATACTACTCATAGCAGCGGGTATGAGTTTAAAAAAGACAATGGACATGAAAATGCTGAAAAACATTCTTCAGAAAACCAAATTGGTTGACTTAAAATAGTAGATTCAGAAGACAAATAAAGCTCCAACCCTAATAGAAAAAAAACTTTACAACAACGACCCTATATGTTGAAGAATGCCGCGGAAAGAGGGCATTTTTAATAGGTGCTCTTTGTTATCATAATTACAAATTAAGTTTCTTTTAAAGGCATATTTGCTCTATATTCTACCACGATTATTGCGGACTTCATAGAAATGCCGCGGACATTATTCTCCAATAAATCACGAACGTCATCAAAAATTATAAGATCAGAAAAACGTACCAAACCTGCGCAGTTGAAATAAATATTTGACTCTAAAATTAAATACTTTTTTGGACCACATCGACGTGTCGTCTTTTGCAGTCTGAACACTGTAAATTGCATCAAGTTGCTGATGAATGTCAGTTTTTTTTATAGCCAAAAGGGCTATTCCACGGACCTCCCTACACATTTAAACTCCAATAAGGCAGTTAAAAAGGAACATGATTTAGTTATTGTATACTCATTAAAATTAATCAATACATATAACGAACAAATTTGAAATTTAAAAAGACTATCTTTAATGCAAAGAAAGCTCAAATTGTCTGCATTCCATACAAATGTAAGCAAACAAATTTTCCCTCTGGTGCTAAATGGAACAGCGTAATCGAGACATGGAGACCTATTTTGTTTCTCTATAGAGGAAACGACGAAGCGTATTTTAGCGATCTTCATGATCTTTATAGAATAGAAATAAAGTCCTTATTGTCGTGAATGTTACAGGATAACCTCCTCGGTCTCGAAATGTTGTTTGAAAAATAAAAACCTCGGCAAACGCCTCGGTTTTTATCTTTCAAACAACATTTCTCGACCTCGGAGGTTATCCTGCAACATTAATATTCACGAAAACACGGACTTTATTTCTTAAATCAAAAGAGCCCCACCGACTGAACCTATGGTCACATGTTTCATTACTTTAGACAAAACACCACTGGACATCATAAACTGTGCATGCACTTATATTTATTTACAAAAGGTTTTGTAATGAGTTATCAAATGTTAATCCTTTGCAATGATGAATAGAAAACTTCCTTTTTTCTCCTAGGTATTATCCCGGTGAACGTTAGTGTAAAGTGATGATGAAGAAGGGTGCCTTTCAAAACTGGGAATTTGTTTCGAGTAATGTGTATGATCAAGAAGTTTGATTTTTTATTAAATGCATATAAGGAGACATGCCATGAAATATTTTGAACATTTGACCCCTGGTTTTCTAACCCAATATGTTATATCAATGACATAATCTTCCAGTCAAAAGGTAGCAATTCATCTGAAACGGATCATTCAAGCTTTCCAAATTACCACGTATCCCCCTTTAAATGGACCTTAACTATATTACAATCTGACTGAACTCAACGCTACAAATCAAAAAGATAAAATACAAAGGGAAAACTACTCAGAACAGCGGACATAAGGCAATAAACATGAAAAGGCTAAAAAAAACATCCTGCAGAAAACCGAATCGTACAAGTTAAAATAGAATATCCACAAGACAAATTAAGCTTCAAGCCTGAAAGAAAAAGACTTGATGACAACGAGTCCTATATATGGAATCATGCCGAAGAAAGATCCAGAGGGGCTTTGACTCGAAAATGTAATATATATTCATTATTTCTTATTTATACCGAGCAATGTATTGTGTACTTTTGGGGACTTTATTCTCATTGAGTTTTTATTCAGTGTATCTGAATAGAAAAGATAATTAGAAAAAAAAAGAAAAAAATACTAGAAAAGATACTAGATATCACTAAGATATCACTGTATACTTAAAAAAAATAAATTATCTTTTAATAGATCGACTACTTTTGCCGAGTCGCACGCAACCAATTCATAAAGATACCATAGCATTTTACGCCTATATGTCGGCCGACATGAATGGAATAGGAAGTCATCATACCCTCATCTTTGATGTGGTTAAAACTAACGAGGGAAACGGATTCCATAGAAACACTAGAATTTTCATGCCTCCTGAAAGCGGATTCTACGTCTTTCCTAGGACTATCAGAGTAATGACATATTACTCAGTTGAGTTGCTGGTAAACAGAGATGTAGTGGGCTCCACCTATCATATTGAAAACTACAGCTTTGATCAGGGTGGTGCGACTGTAGTTGTGTTCTGTAACACGGGTGATGATATTTATTTAAGAACAGGAGCAAATTATAATGTTGGTCCCATCACAAGTGAGGAGAGAGGAAGGAGTTCCTTTGCTGGATGGAAAATTTGAATTTATTTTGTGGATTCAGGAATTCATGTTACTGTTTTACAATATGTATTATTTTGTCAAATCAGGTTTTTCTGTTAAAATTTTAATACACTGAAGAAGTGAGACAGTTTCCTTGAAAAATATACATATCTTTTAACTGTATTTTGAACGCGAAAATATAATGAGTTCTCGGGCGCCACCATTTACATGAAATGTATTGATTAAAGTAAGCTTGATAAATGTGAATTTCATTTTTTACAGTTTTGAGACAGACACTCTTCATCATCATATTTTTACACGAAACTTACTTGGAGTAAGAAGATATTCTTTTTAATATTGCAAAGATTGGGAATTCCTAATACAGCAACGCATCCGACAGAATTTTTTTAAATTGTGTTTTATTTTGGTAAACGATGTTTTGATTTTGTTTCATGTAATTAGATGTAGATCAAAAACTTTGAAATAAAAAAATGCAAATAATCGAGAGGCATACCATGACATATTTTGAACATTTATCCCCTGGTTTCCTAACATATGTAAAATCAATAACATATACTTCTATTAAGTAGGTAGCAATATGTCAGAAACTGATCATGCAAATTTTTCAGATGACTATCAACTCCCTCCTTAAAGTAGGATTCTCCTCAAACAAAACTGTATTTTCTTGTATTTAAAAATTAATGAATTTTTTAAAGAATCAAAACGACATTATTCCTAAGTGATGGTATCAGTTAGATTAGTTTTGACCGTGTTATATTAGAGTCATGGTCAGGTCAAGGTCATTACCTTTTTCATGGTCATTAAGAATCTAATATAACTGCATCCAGTCATGAGGTAGGGTCTGCTATTTCAAAAGATAAAGTGTTTTTTCTTTTTGCATAAATAGATATTACCATATAGGGTCTATAAGATGATATTACCAAACTGACACAATAATTTAACAAAAATGGATTTTAGCTAATCCATATTTTCTTTATTTTTCTTAAATTTTTAGAATATTTAAGTTATTTTAATATGCGCACTATATTTTAATTTTTGTTATTTTAACATATGGTAAAGAAGTCACATTAAAATACAAAATGATACCAAAAAAAGTTTGACGGGTTAGTAAGAGAGTAAAAACACTACTGATTGTTGGCTCATATTTTTACTTAGATTGGAAGCTTTTAAGAAGTTAGTTTGGAAATTCATATTTATTTGATATATTTAAAAACTTTAGTTCCCTTTCATGAATATAGCTAACATTCGCAAAAATTCTTCTAGTCTTTGATTGTGTAAAAATGATAACTAAATTCGTTGTTCTGTAATGATTTTGAGAAGCAGAAAAGATGATATTTTTATCCGCCACCATTCCTCCAAAAATACAGTCCCTGCTAGTTTTCGAACACATTTTACCATTTGTATTTAAAGTTGTACAATTGTGATAAGGAAAGACAAATATGGTCTTTAAAATTTTTTTCACCTAAATATATAAGACATATATTAAGCAAATATACATTGAATATTTCATCTACTCAGAAACCAGTAAAAAATCCTAACTTAAAAAGGAAATGTTAATTCCCTGACAATCTGGCTGAAATTAACACTACAAAAGTATAAGCACTGGATGTCAATTTCATGACATCATGGAACAAATTAATAGAATTATACAGGAAAAAGAGACCTCGAATAACGTAATTTTATCTGAATCAATGGGAATTCAGCGAGATAAAAAAAAATAAAACAAGGATTATAGAAAATATTTGGGAAAAATGCATACTTTACATAATTGACGTCTAGCTAAATTAGGTAGGTTTCATGTCCTATTTTTTCATTGGTTTGTCCTTTTAAAGGCAGAAATTTTTTACTGGTGGCAAATTCCAGGTGAGGGAGGGGCTTATTTTGTACAGGTGTGAATGCCTTGGGGGCTAGCAGTCTACCTGTGGTCAACAGTCTCCTAAACCCTATACACAGAAAGTGATTTAATACACAGTGTAATACCCAGACGTCAAACTTTACCTGTGATGGGGATTTTGAGACAATTTTAAATTAGTAATTAAAATTTTCTCAATTATATATTAAATTGTTTTTGAATGTTTTAAAACATCCCTACCTATTAAGAAAAAAAATTATTATGATATCATACTATAAATTCAAATATTAAAACGAAGATTATTTTACAGGTTAGTGTATGTGTTAATTAAAAACAACTCCTGTAACAACCAAATTAGACTTAATTCATTTATCCCCCGGATCCCATCTATTAAATGAAAAGAGAGCCGTGTTAACTACTTTTCATTAGGCTAAAAATATCTAAGTTTATCCTAATCTTATTAATAAGGCTTTGTCACCATAAAAAATCCTAAAAAGATTGCTTGTAAATTCTTATCTGAATAAAAAGGGAAAATATAAGTGAGCCATGATTATAAACATTTATAGATTTTTTTTTTAATTCTATTACTCCACACAGTGCTGCTCTGAACTTTATTAATAACATTTCCACTTTAGGTTTATCATTTAGCATATCAAAATTAATATCGAAAATTCATTTGGTAAAACAAAATTTTATGTACCAGATTTTGTTTAAAATCAAAAAATGCAGATTATATTATAATTCTTTCAAATACTAAAGGTATATTAAATTCATATATTATCAATCAAAAAATTATCATAGTAATACAGTTTCTTATACCATGTTCGGTAAATATCAAAGGATCAAAAGTTAATTTGAAAGTTCCAACGAGTTCCCAACAAGGTGTACAGGGTATACACAGTGACCAGTAAGTAAATGTCAATCAAGTTCCAGCATCCAATGATGGACCTTCATGCACTTGATTGACAGGGCTACCCTGACCAGGTATTTTTGAAGGCGGTGCTTAAAATTTCTGCCTTTAAGATAAGATCATTGTTGTTCAGAATAGTTCACTGCAAGTACGATATTACATCTATGTACGTATCCAGAAGATTTTAAAGAAAAGTATTCGAAGAAATAATTATGGAAGGTAAAATCATGAATTTTCTGGCATGCATTATTATACTGGTGACGGTGTACACAGAGACAAAGGCTCTGGCTAAGCATGATATGGAAAAAGAATTGAGAGCTCTCTCTCAAATGATGTTGACCATCTTAAAAAAGCAGGAAAAGGGCAAGCAAGAGGTTATCAAACAACTTCAGAATATTGTTGAAATACAAGCTGCCAGGATGTCCATGCTCAGTGAAATTTTACAAAACCAGTAAAGTGTCATTAAAAAGCACATTAAAAAAATACAAAAATTAAAGAAGGTGATTTCGGAATTAGTCGACTTCCTTTTCAAAGAGAGTTACAAAACTAAAGATGTAGCTGAAGAAATTAAAAAGATAAAATACGGAAAGAAAACTACTCAGAGCAGAGGATATGATTTTAAAAAAGACAATGAATATAAAAGGGTTGAGAAACATACTCAGAAAACCAAATTTGTCGACTTCAAATAGTACCTCAAGAAGACAAATTAATTTCCAAGCCCGAAAGAAAAGGGCTTTACAAGAACGAACCCTATATGTGGAACGATGCCGCGGAAAGGGGGACTTTGACTAGAAAATGTAATATATTTTATAATATCTTAAAATACAATTCTTAGCCATATTTTGAACTTTTGTAGAATGTATTTTTACTGAGTTGAAACTATAAGGTGTTTTCTGATTTGCTGACCAACGAACATGTACAGTGTAGATAGGAAATTCTGGATTTTAAAAATAATTGATTTATAATCTGTTCTAAATATTTTTTGTTCATTTGGGTGTTTCTCACTATAAATATAAATTACACTAAATATGATCTTTGACCAGATCGACTACTTTCACCGGGTCCCACGCAACTAGTTGTTGAAGAAACAATAACCTTTTATATCTACATTTCAGACGATATGAATGGAGTAGGAAGTCACCATCCCCTCTTGTTTGGTGTAGTTTAAACTAACGAAGGAAACGGATACCACAAAAAGACCGGCTTTTTCTTTTCTCCCAAAACAGGATTTTGTCTTTTCTTGGACTATCAGAGTAATGGCCGATGCTTATCACTCAGTTGAGTTGGTGGTCAAAAATAATGTAGTGGGCGCCACCTAACAAATCGAAAGCCACAACTATGATCAAGGTGGTGCGACTGTAGTTGTGTTCTGATAATAAGGCTGATGATATTTATTCAAGAACAGGAGCAAATTATAATGTTGGTCCTATCACAAGTGAGGGGAGGGGAAGGAGTTTCTTTGCTGGTTGGAAAATTTGAGTCAGTAAATAAATGTCTACATCGTTACTGTTTTATATAATTCCTCTGTTGATGACTTTACTAACTATAGTATTTAAATGAAAAATAGAAATATCCATATCTTCTCTTTATGTATTTTGAACACGCAAATATGCAGATGACGATGTTTTTTTTATTCTTGTAATGTTTGAAAAATCATAATGAAAACTAAAAGTTGTGGAAATAACTATTGCTTTGAACACTTGTTCAGAATTCACAACACAGAGTATATAAGATTAGTTCTTGATACATCATCATTTACAAGAAATTTATAGTGTTCTTTGTAGAATAACGTAAGCTTGACTAAATATCTTTTTTGAAAATTATAAACTGAGCAAATTAAAAGGCCCACATGCTTTTTAGGTCACCTAAATAGCATGAAACAATTTCTCCACAATTGAATCATAACTAAATGCATAGTTCATTCACTTAACACCCATTAGCAGAGCAGAGGATTATCTAAGAACCATTGCATTTTCACTATCTAACCAGTAGAGTCCCCACTCCACAGAAGCAAATGACTTTAAGGCCACACATTTCATTTTTTAAAAAAGGTGCTCTTGCTTATCATAATTACAAATTTAGTTCTTTTAAAAGCATATTTGCTATATAATCAAAAGCCCCTACCACTGAACCCATGGCCACATGTTTTATTACTATGGACAAGACACCACTGGACAACATAAACTGTGCATGTGTCTATATTTATTCATTGTTCCAGACAGAGGAACATTTCCAAGGTATTGATGCATTTTCACGTTC